ACAACTGGGCCCACCTGAAAGGGGTTACAAAAAAAAAACAGTAGAAAATAAACTCGTTAGCATGAATGCTAAGTATAAAGCCACTCAACCATGTAAAATACTATAGATATAGATTTTGAAAATCATTAGGCAAAGCACACATAAGCACAAGTACTTTCAACACTTAAACAACATACTCAATCATGCTCATAAACAATTCTAGATGCTTGCATCCTATTCAACATATAAACAAAGCTTTCTCAAGTACTCAAATTAACACAAATCTCATGCTTCAACAAATAATACAAATCATAGCTCAAAAGTAACTCATGCTCAACTCAAGGATAAAGAGATGCTAGACAACTCAACAACAATCTTATGCTTCTATGCTAAACAAAAATAAATCTCAAAGTTGTTATACCAACACAATAATCAATGACAAACTATACATATCAATATACTCTAAATGCAACACATGCAAGTCATGTAATAAGAAAATGACATGATGCTATAAGTATATAGATATACTCTCTCTCTCTCTCTCTCTCTCAAAAAGGTATACTTTATCTGTGGAGGTTTCTGTTGAGTCACACAAACTCGCTTTTCTCTTCTTTCTTTCTTTCTTACTTACTTTCACAAACTTTCTCATGATTCTCATTTCTCTTCTTGGGAGAGGCAGGTACTCTGCCACAGCGAAGCCCTTGCGAATGGTGCAATCTCATGCAGCCGCCACATTCCTATCAACGGAACCTCTAACTCATGGGGAGGTAGGTCTTCACGAATCGTGAATGTACCTAACCGGCTCGGCAATCTAGCCGGCCACATAACCAACTCGCCCATAGAACCATGCCTTGGGTTCTTAAATCTTTCTCCGTGGAATCAGGTATCGTACTCTAGTGTGCACACCCCCTAACTAGGATTCCAAGCCGGGCGGGTAGTATCCAACCTAGTAACGCGGGAATATCGACCTTGTTACTTCTAAATATCTGTCGGTCCTTTATGACCGTTTCTTACTCTGGAATATCGACCAAGTCACATTCATATATCTCTTTTGGTTCTCATTGATAGTTTCTTGCTTTTCTCAAACTTCTTTCTTTCTCTTTTCCTCCGAAAGGACATAGTCCTAACGGTCCTCCAAAATACTATTTTCCTCACAATAGATAGTATATAGATATATCTCATGCCACAAACTCTTCTTATGCAAACTCATGCACAAATAATCTCAATCAACTTCTCTTTCTCACAACTTTGGAAATCAAATATCTTGCAACCTCTCAATGCAAATAGATAATGATTTTCCAAAATAGATATAGGTTTTTGAAATAGAATTTAGGCTTACTTAGAGCCAATGATGTACTTTAAACAATGAAATGCACAAGATCAAACTCTTCACTGTGAAAAATCTCAATTCTCATTCACTGTGTTCTCATAAAATCAAGCACTGTTTATGCAAAATTCTCAAACATTTAGCAAAGCTTCTCAATAAATACAAACAAGTATTTAGGCATGCTTCTCAAGTCAAAATAACATTAAAAAAATGCTAAACTCTCTTTTACTTAAATAGCTCAAAGTTCACAAACAACAACAATCAACAGAGTATTCAATCTTCACAATTTAAACTATAAATCATGCTTCACAACTCCAAGTTCAACGGAACGAACTACTACTAGTGCGTTGTAACGAGCTCGAGTGTCCGAGCCTCAAGGGCCCACGAGTCCCGATCCTAACAACGCGTAGCTGAGCCACAAAGGGCCCAAACAGTATTGCAGTTGGCCTAGCGGAGCTTGGTGACGGAGCTTGAGAAGCCCCGCCAAACCACGGATCATGGCAATGGACCATGCCAGGGTCCGTTGCCCTGATCCGCTGCTCCACAGAGCAGCCCAACGGACCCTGCCAAGGTCCATTGGCTAACTCCGTGGGGTGATTTGGTGCACCTTATGTGTGCACCAGACACCTCCAACTCCACCTGCAAAGCAAAACCAGTGTAATCCAAACCTTCCAAACCACAAAAAATCATTCATAGATCATCTACAACATACAAATAGCTCAACCACAACATTTATTTTGCATTTCTACACATCATATCATAAACTAGCAGTTAAAAGAGAGTGGGGAGTCCATGGTTTATACCTTAGCTTCTTCTTCATCTTCTTGTGTGGATTTCTACTTCCTCTCAACTCAGACAACACCTCATTCACTTCCTAAACTCCTCAAACAAGCAACACAAACAACACACAAAAAAGGAACCTCAGAGATTTGAAGGCAAGATGAAACCAGGAGGAGAAAATGGAATGAATGGAGGAAAATGAGTTTGGAAAACTTACTGTAATAACTTGCAGACTCAAAGCTTTGAGAGGCAAGGAGAAGGATAAGGAGTTCTCAATGTAAAGTGGTGAATATATAGGGTGCAAAACCCTAGGTAACAAGCAAATGATTGGAGGAGGTTAAAATGGTAAATTGGTTTGATTTCTAAAAATATCAGACAAGGTATAGAATGCTCATGATCCACCTTGCATCATGGATCATAGTCTAAAAGAAGATTTTTGGATAACTTGGGGTCAAAATAGATTTTCTAAAAATGTTTTCTAGTTAAAACATTTGGTTCAGGTTTCACAGGTTGCTTTCCGGTTTCACTCAGATTGACTTTTTGGGTCAAAACGTGGTACATAAATGTACCCGAAATCTAGGATTTTTGAATTAGAATAAATCTTGGTGTTGAATTTATTTAAAAACTCGGTTTAAAATATTTAATTCAAACACCATTTTTGAAATAAAATTTTGGAAAAGTGAAAATGGCTATTTTGGAATCTTGTAAAATAGAATTTAGAAAAATTATTTTTGGGTTATCACATTCTACCCTCCTTAAAAGAAGTTTCGTCCTCAAAACTTATGATAAACGGACAGATTTTCTTAAAACGGAAGCTTTCTAGAAGACAACAAGAGGCATAAGATTTGGCTTAGGAACTTTCTTGGAATACTTGGAAAGAATGAAATCTCTGAGTATCAAACTAGCACTCAACAACTAACGCACTAGGCAAGACTGACTACTAGAACTCACTAACTCTAAGTTTCCTCGTTACCCCTCTTATTCTTATCGTTCTTACCACTTCTTCGGTCTCAACATCTTGAACTTCTACAAATAATCTTTTGTGGAACCGCAAACATGGAAGGTGGCCTAAGGAAGAAACGTGCCTCAAAAAATGGAGAGGAAAAAGATTTGTACGACCAACATGTACGTAGGGAAGGCAGTCCAAGGAGATTGCCAGTAGGGAATGAAAGTCATCGGCTCGCATGTTGGTAAGGCAGCTTAAAATCATCTTCTGTGAGCCCACAACTATGGAAGGAGGCCCAAGATGGCAACATGCCTTAAAGGAAAAAAAAAAAAAAGAGCAAAAAGAGAGAGAGAAAAAGTCATATGGGTGCACGTACATGTAGGGAATGTGGTTGGAAACCATCCTTAGTAGGTTTGCAAGTAGAGAAGGATTGGAAGGCGACCTAAGGAGGCATCAGACCTAAAAAAAAAAAAATCAATCGCATGGGCCCGCATGCAGGGAATGTAACCCAAAAGCCCTGCAAGTAGGGAAGACAACTCAATAAGCCCATGATGAGGAAGGATGACAAAAAAAAAATATCTCTCTTTTTCTTGCAGAAAACAAGTGAGAACTAAGTATTCTTGACGATTTCATGCATGAAAGGCTATAGGGACGACCAAGCTATCCAAAAGAGAGGAAAATCTTTCAGCCTAAGGGTTAGCAAAGGTCAAGTGGGCCTTGAGACTTCACAAGAGGGAGAGAGGAGGAGAAGATGAATGAAATGTTTTGTTTTTGTGCATCTGACGATTCGAACAAAATTTAAAGCCTAGGGGTATGCAAACTTCGGAGAATTTTTGGTTAACCGACCGAACCGACAAAGTTCGGTTAATCGTTTTTTAACCGAACTTTTTCGGTTCTGTTAATGGTTAGAGAAATTTCAAAACTTCGGTTAACGGTTAATTCGGTTCGAAAGGTCAGTTAACCGAATTAACTGAACGGTTAACCGAAGTTATATATATATATATATATATATATATATATATATATATATATATATATATATATAGTAATTGTGTAATACTAATATAAATATATAATGAACTTTGGATGTTTATACTTTGGATTTTTGATTGAAGATTTGAAGTTAGGGATGAATTTATTATGATATGTATTTTATTTTAATTGGATTTATTATTTTAGGATTTTCAATTTTAGCTTTAAAAAGTTCGGTTAATCGGTTAACTGACCGATTAACAAAAAAAAAATCGGTTCGGTTAATTCGATAACACAAACTTCGGTTTGGTTAACGGTTAACGGTTTAAAAAGTTCGATTAATTTGGTTCGGTTAACCGATTGAACACCCCTATTAAAGCCTATGGGATCAAGGTCAAGAGCAAAACTAAAAAACATACTATAAGAGTCTAAAGGCTGTGAGGTCAGAGTCTAATACAATGGGTAGATAAGCCCAAAGAGGAGGGTGTGAAGGTGGAGCTGAGCAAAAAGAAAAGGTGGTGCATGCAGCCATGAAAAATCAAACACAAGACATTCAAGATAGCTACATAGACAACATCTAACTAAGTTACCTAAACATTTTGTGTAAATGGGAGTTTTAATAATTGTAAGTGTACAAAATAGTACACATTAGATTGGCTAATTTATTAGTTTATTTTATTAATATGTAATGTTAATTAAATTGATTTGTAATTAGTCTTATTGGACTAAGCTAAAATGTGTGGTGGAGATTTATTGTTAATGAATTGGACAAAGAGCAAGTCTGAAGATCTCAAGTTAAAAGAAGATGTGGTTGAGAAGAATTCAAGCCACATGTGAAAGCTATAATCAAGGCATGGTGAAATGGAAGCTATGTACAGTATATAAGGAAGGGAAAATGAAAGAGGATGTTGCCAATTCTGAAATTCTGATCTCATACGCAAGCTTCCTACATTACTGCTTTAATATTGATTATATTATTTGTGATTTAAATCTGTACTACAAATCAGTACCTGTGACAGCTGAAGTGCTACACCATCTGGTGGTGTTTATGTGGCCTTTGTATGTCCGGACGAGGTTGCGGTGGTCGGTGTCCCACATTTTGATGCAGCCGTCGACGCTCGATGTTAGGACCGTACGGCGGTCCAGGAATCTGGCGTATGTCACGGCCTTTAGATGGCCGTCGAGGATGAACAGCGGCTCCGCCGTGTTGCGGAGGTCGTAGGTGTAGGTTTTCCGGTCAGCGCAGCCGGCGGCGATGGAAGGGGCGAAGGGGCTGAACTGCACGCAGCAGACGGCGCTCCGCGCCTTGCTCAGCTGCACCGTCGCGAGACAGTTCCCGTTCGGGCAGCGCGGGTCCCACGTTTGCATGGTGCCGTCGTCGGAGCCGGACGCGCCGACGACGGGGTCGGAATGGGAGTAGTCCACACTCCAGACGCGCCTGCCGCCGTGCTCGTCACGCTCGAAAACCGGGACTCTTCTCTCCAGGTCATACTCCATCACTACCCCGTCGTAGTCGCCCGACCCGAGAACCCGGCTGTTCCACCCCGGCTTCCATCTCAGGCTACTCAGCTTCACCGGCGTGCAGATGTAATAATCGCATGCACTGCTATGATCAAGCGAAACGGCGTCGCTTCCTTCGTCCTGATCCCAAAAAGGATCAACCAGCGAGTTAACACTGTAAACCCTAATTTTCCGGGCTATTCCGCCGGTGGCCAAGAATTTATCAGAAGGGTCAAACTCTAGAACCCCAAGAGCGTCGGAAACAGCTCCCACGGCGGAGGTGGGAGAAGAAACTACGGCGGAGATGCGAAAATCCCAGTCGCAGCGGGCTTTTTCTCCGTCGTCTTCTTCTTGCTGTATAGTTTGTGAGGTTTCTGCGGCGCTTGTAGGTGATGAAGAAAAGTTTTTCATTGCCCATATTGTTCCATATCAAGTGGTGATTGGAAAAATTAAGGAATTGGATTTTCTTGAGAGTTTTCGGCCAATGAAAGGTCCCTATAGATCCACTTAAGTGATATTATATTATATATGTCCATTTTGAAGCTTCAATTTTCCACTTATTTTTATTATAAATCCTATCTAAAAAATTATTGATTTTTTGTAATAAAATACTACACATGTCAAAAAAAAAAAAAAAAAGATGGTTATGGCATGCACGGTTCAGTCCTGAGTAGGTGTTTTAGAAGAGTTGTAGTGGTAAAGGCTGTGAGCTGTTTGTAGTTACCTCTTGTAATACTCTGTGGTGAACATATAGTGGATTGGGCAGACGTGGGTTGCCCCGCAGACGTAGGAGAAGGAGCTCCGAACTGCGTAACAATTCTACTGTGTCTTTACTTTATTTACGCTTTCAATTTCATTATTTATACGTTGATTAAAGTGATTTAATTAAACAGTGATATTGTCTTGTAACATAAAATCAAGTAGAATCCTTAGTGTTAAATTGATTTCAAGATACACGGGCTTTTTCAATTGGTATCAGAGCCTCCAGACTTAAGTTATTAGTCTGACGATCTGGCTACTCCGTGCCCCTTGATCTCAATCCTTCAGCGGTTAGTATTATTATTTCTGATTTTGTTAAGTTGTTCAATCTCACGGGTTATTGAGTGTTACAGAATGGAGCATACTAAAGCTCTTCCCCAGCTAGTCGGTGACAACTATGCATATTGGAAGGTGCGCACGCGTACTCATCTCAAAGCACAAGGTGAAGCAGTATGGTGTATCATTGTAACAGGCCGGGATCATCCAACCAAAGCCAGTTCCAGTGAGGATGAAACTCGAGTGACGAAACCTGAAAATGAAAGGACCCAAGCTGAGAAAACGAGTGCTGGACACAACGATAAGGCACTAGATATTATTTATGGGCTAATTCATGAAAGTCAATTTCCTATTGTTGCAGGCCATGATTCAGCTAAAGGTGCATGGGAAGCACTAGAGGCTACCTATGAAGGCACATCGTCGGTAAAACAATCGAAACTGCAACTGGTACAGTCAGACTTCGAGGAGCTCCGAATGAATGAAGATGAAACCATCGTGACCTTCCACACTCGTGTGCAAGAGCTAGCAAATCGAGCTATGGTCCTCGGAGAACCATTCACTCAAGAAAAGTTGGTGAAAAAAATTCTACGATCACTGCCACCTCGGTTCCGGATGAAAGTTACAGCAATCCAGGAACATGACAACTGGGAGAAAAAGACTGTAACACAACTAATGGGGAATCTAAGAACTTATGAGATGGAAATCTTAACAGATCACACAAAAAAAAAAAAAAAGAACAAAAAACAGTAGCATTTACCGCTGAAGAAAATAATTGTGCACCCTGACTTAGATGAAATAGGTGATGATCCAGTTGTATTTCTTACTAAACAATTTTCTAAACTTTTGAAACAGGTGTCAAAAGGTTCACGAAACAAAAATATGCAAAAGGGGGCGTCATCATCTAAAGCAAGTTCTAAATCCGGTTCATCAACCTTCAAGTCTTCTGGTTCACGTCCAGGACAGTCCAAAGAGAAATCCACCAGTAAAGGGATCAGATGCTATGAATGTGAGGGCTTCGGACATGTACAAGCAGAGTGTCCCACCTATCTTCGACGCAAGAAATCCATGTCAGCAGTTACTTGGAGTGATAATGACTAGGACGGTGAAACAGGAGGATCTGACTCAGACGAAATTTCTGGGAATTTTGTTGCCTTTACTGCACATATGGCTGTTAAACCGTGTCATGAAGATGTTGCTGACTCAGAAGGAGGCGAGTATAATTCTGCAGAAGATTTAGAGTCAAGTGAATCATCTTTTGAAATTGAGTTTAATAAATTGTATCCCAAATGGGCAGCACTAAGAAAAGAAAACCGTAGATTAACTAGTGAAATAGGGATTGTAACAAACGCAAAGAAAGTGTATCAAACTCAAATAGCTGACAGGGATCTACTTCTCAAAGAGGCATTGGCCCGAGAAGAAAGACTGAAACAAGAGGTACAGACTCTGAAGAAGGAGCTGAACACCTACAAACGCCAAATCCAAATGATGGATACCACGTCTACTCTTGATGAGATTCTTGAGTCTGGAAGAAAGACATCTACAAAATTTGGTCTAGGATTCACAGGAAACAGCTCAAAGGATAAAACAGTGTTTGTCAAAGCATCAGGACCTGGTCGAGGAGATATTCCAGAATCTAGCACAACGACACATCGCGTTGGTACAGTAAGATCACTCAAGCCTTACTATAAATCCTATAACCCGGTATGTCATTATTGCAGGTTACGGGGTCACACCAGACCGGAATGCTACTACTTCTACAAGGATCAAAGAATCGAGAAATTCAAACACAAGAACATTCAACCCTTTACAAGACAAATCTGGGTGAAAAAGACAAATTATATCTCATTCGTATCTTTTCATTCTAAGAGTACAGGCCGAGAAGAAAATGGTACTTCGATAGTGGGTGTTCACGTCACATGACGGAAAATGCTAAATTTCTGAGTAACGTAAACACAAGCAAAGGTGAAGTTACCTTTGGCGACGGTATAAAAGGACAAGTCACTGGTATAGGCACGCTAAACGTAGTTGGTCTGCCAAAACTGGAGAAAGTTCTACTAGTCAAAGGACTTCATGCAAATCTTATAAGTATAAGTCAACTATGTGACCAGAACTGGAACGTGAGCTTCAACAAAAATAGTTGCAGTGTCCTAGACTAAGCAAATCAATGTGTTATGGAAGGTACAAGGTCAACTGATAATTGCTATATTCTTACTAACAATGTTTTGTGTTGCAGGATCAATGTAGATGAAACTGAGCTTTGGCACCAAAAGTTAGGACATCTAAGTTACAGACTTCTTGACAAACTTGTGAAAATCGAAGGTGTTCGTGGATTACCCAAGCTGAAAGTCAAACCAACCATATGTGGTGCATGTCAAGCAGGAAAGCAAACCAAATCCTCTCATCCAGCGCAGCACACTATAAACACAAGTCACTGCTTGGAACTGATCCACATGGATCTCATTGGTCCAACTCAAACAGAAAGTGTTGGAGGTAAGAAATACATACTCGTTTGTGTAGATGATTATTCTCGTTTTTCTTGGGTTACCTTTCTCAGGGACAAGTCTGAAACCCTCGAAGCCTTCAAAACTTTGGCATTAAACCTCCAAAAAGAAAGAAATGAGCCCATCATTCCAATCCGAAGTGATCACGGACGAGAATTCGACAACAATCTGTTCGATACCTTTTGCAACCAAACATGAATCACACATGAATACTCAGCTCCGAAAACACCTCAACAAAACGGAGTTGTAGAACGGAAGAACCGCACAATTCAAGAAATGGGACGAGTTCTGCTCAATGCCAAAGGACTACCTCAAAAATTTTGGGCAGAAGCTGTGAACACTGCATGTCACATCATCAATCAGGTCTATCTACGTCCAGGCACAAATCAGACTCCGTATACATTATGGAAAGGTAAGAAACCAAACATTAAATATTTTCACGTTTTCGGATCACGCTGTTTTATCTTGAAGGATCGAAACCCTGTCGCAAAGTTTGAAACAAAAAGCGATGAAGGCATCTTCCTCGGCTATTCAACGAACAGCAGGGCATATCGTGTATACAACAAAGTTACCAAAACCATTATGGAGTCCACAAATGTTGTAATCGATGATCAACCAAGTGATATTATCACAACGTCTCAGCCTGGACCAATGATAGAACCTGACACAAGTTGTCCAGAACCTAATTCAGAGTCTCCTATGCCATCTCCCATGTCAACTCAACCAGAGCAAGAAACTGAGTCTGAGTCTGAATCTGACACTGATCATGGTAACATTGATATCCCTACTCGGATCCAGAAAGCTCATCCAATACAAAACGTAATTGGAGATCCTAGTTCCGGCGTAAAAACCAGAGGTAAACCGAAACGTGATTACCTTCAATTAGCGGGATATTCTTGTTATACTTCACAGATCGAACCGAAGAATGTCAAAGAAGCTCTAACAGACGAACACTGGATCAAGGCCATGCAAGAAGAACTGGGGCAGTTCGAACGAAATAAGGTATGGTCTCTAATTCCCAAACCTGACAATGTCAATGTTGTAGGTACCAAATGGATCTTTCGCAACAAAACTGATACAGCTGGCAACATTGCTAGAAATAAAGCGCGACTTGTAGCCCAAGGCTACTCCCAAATTGAAGGAATCGACTACGACGAAACTTTTGCCCCTGTTGCACGGCTAGAGTCAATACGACTACTCCTATCGATTGCATGTGCCCTAAAATTCAAGTTGTTTCAGATGGACGTTAAAACAGCCTTCTTAAATGGCTATCTCTCAGAAGACATATACGTTGCTCAGCCAAAAGGGTTTGAAGATCCACATCATCCAGACTATGTCTACAAATTACAAAAAGCTCTCTATGGCTTAAAACAGACCCCAAGAGCCTGGTATGAAAGACTTACTCAATATCTTCTTCAGAACAACTACAAAAGAGGAGGATCAGACAAAACATTATTTATAAAACGATCAGGTAAACACATAACAATTGCTCAAGTGTATGTAGATGATATCGTTTTTGGATCCACACAACCAGGAGAGACAGACCAGCTAGTCAAGGTAATGCAACAAGAGTTTGAAATGAGCATGATAGGCGAACTAACCTATTTTCTTGGACTACAAGTAAGTCAAACTAAAGAAGGGATTTTTATTTCGCAAGAAAAATATGCGAAAAATCTTCTATCCAAATTTGGGCTTGAATCTGCAAAGGATGCCCGTACTCCTATCTCTACGACTTCAAAATTGTTCAAAGATGAAAAAGGCACATCGGTAGACTCCACTATGTACAGAAGTATGATAGGCAGCCTATTGTACTTAACAGCCAGTCGACCAGACATTATGGTAAGTGTTGGTATGTGTGCACGCTATCAAGCCGATCCAAAAGAGTCACACCTAAAGATGGTAAAGCGTATTATAAAATACGTTAAAGGTACGATAAATTATGGTATTTGGTACTCGAACAATACTAATCTGAATCTTGCAGGATACAGTGATGCTGACTGGGCAGGAAATGCTGACGACAGAAAAAGTACATCA